ATATATATATATATATATATATATATATATATATATATATATATATACATATACATATGTAATATATTTATATAAGTGCCCATATTTTAAGGAAGATTTTCATCTCTAATACATATTAGGATGTAGCTTTGTTGTACGGGGTTCGATATAAGAATTACGATTCCGTTCAAGAGAAAGTGGCAAAAGCCGGAGTTTTAAAAGTAACAAACTAACCATCTTTATTTTTTAGGGACTAAGCAGCAGGTTCTTTTCAGTAAAGTAGATTTATCAGCTGATGATGTCACATGAAAAGAAAATCAGGTATCACACATTTTATTCTGTCTGAACTGTAAATATTTAAAGAAAGTTTGATCATGTTCAACTCTTAAAAAAATCACTTAAAATAGATAAGGGGTGTTTTCTTCAACTCTTTTGACAAAAACTTGATGCAAAATAAAAAGGATCACAGAAATAAACATCTTTCAGCATGGCAACAAACAGGGGAGCGGTGGCGCAGAGGCTAGAGAAGGTGGGCCCTAAGATCAGAAGGTTAACGGTTCGACTCCCAGAGCATCAACATAAAATGTGGGTGGAATAGGTAAATCACCCACACCTGCCTCCACCCTCACTTGCCCCACTCTGAACCCTTCAGCAAGACCCTTAACCCCCACCATCTGCTCCCCTGAGCAGCCCAGATATCAGCTCTCTGCTCCACACAGAGGGCTGTGGTAGCTCAGTGTCTGGTTGTGTCAGGAAGAACATCCAGCATGAAAACAATTCCCGTGTGTGTTTGAGTTAGTTCACTGTGGTGACCCCTGAAGAAGGGAGCAGCTGAAAGAAGAAGACAAATTATACATGTTTCATGCGGTCAGTGGCTATGATGACTTTCTTGACAAGGGACGACTCCAAAATGTATTCATATGTAGATGTACACCCAATTGTTGTTTTCGAAAGTTTAAAAACATGGGATGACTCTCAGCTATCTCCACACCAATTTTGAGCTCAACATCTTTAAATTTCGCATAGTCGTGGCAATTTTTGTGTTTGCTAAGTTGTCTCCGCTATGGCAGCTGTTCTGGGAGGGGTTGACTCCAAAAGTGAATCGGTAAATGGACTGTACTTATATAGCGCCTTTCTATCTTATGTCAAGATACTCAAAGCGCTTTACACTACAATCTGTGCCTCATTTACCCGTTCATACAGCACTCTACATTGCTACAAAGCTAATTGAACAAATCATTCTAATGAGACCAATCAGTGCTTTTAGATCACATTCATACACTGATAGGACACACATCAGAGGCTATGAGGGGTTCAGTGTCTTGCCCAGGGACACTTCGGCATGTGACTGCTGGTGGATTCGAACCCCCAACTCTCGCATTGGAGGACGACTGCTCTAACCACTCAGCCACATCCGCCCAATCGGTGTGCAACAGACATTCATTCAGGGATCAGAGTTTCTTGTTTGCTGGTTCCTGAGATATTTTGTTAACAGTACAAACAATCAAAAACACATCCAGATGTGACAAGGACTTTATTGCTCCTCCTTCACCTGTGGCAGTGGGTGATAGCATACAAAACAAGAAAAACAAGTTTTGTGACAATCTAGCCAAGTTAACGTTATTTTTCTGTATTTTCATATGTTTTTAATGTGGACATGGTAAAGTCTGCCAGGCACCTTAATATCCACCTGAAAAGGGTCTGGATCCTCCTTCAACTTTAATGCGGCCCAAACCACAATGTGTACCCTCACAAATGTTATATCAAAATGACCGGCTCTGCACCGTGATGTGTACCATTCCTTTTATTGGCGTTAGGAGTTACCATGACGACGTAATTAGCAAACAAAGACGCCATTTTTCTCATCGAAAAACACTGACAGAACTCTTTAACAGCCTCTAACTGCCACAGTGAGGTCACATGACTAGAGGGAAGAGGTCCCTGAACAAAAACTTTTGGAGCCATTTTGGTTCAAGATGGCTACCACAGCTACCTCAGAAAACACAAAATTGACTATAACTCAGACATTCTTTGAGATATTGTGCATGACACAATATCATGCAGGACATTTGGTATGGTCGTAGCTGAGAGCGAGTTGTTTTACATTCTTAATGCTAATTAAAAAAAATCCAAGATGGCCACCTTAGAAAAAAAGGGAAAAAACATGATAACTGAGCTATTTTAAAAGATGTTGAGCTGAAATTTGGTGTGGTGGTACCTGACAGTGATACACAACATATTCTGAATTTAAATCTAAAAAGTCAAGATGGCTCCCGAAGCTAATTTCAAAGCTGAAATTTGATATGGTAGTAGCTGAGAGTGAACCTCAACACATAGTACTGTCAAATAAAAATTTTAAAATGGCTGCCACATGGCAGTCCCTGTCAAAGTGTCTCCAGGAACTTCTAGTTAGCATATCAAGACTTATCATTGATGTTTCACAACATAACCACTGACATTTGGTCTGTCCTGTTCATTGCTTGCAGGTTCAGTTTCCTCCAAATTAAAGACACATTGACCCGCTCAAGGTTCTTTAACTAAACCTGTTAAAGAGCTGCTCCTGAGTCCACCCCATCCATCTGTGGAGCCTCATCACACACCATGGGTACAGTACTGTCGCTCTCGCCCAGCTACCGCAAGGCTGCTCTTTTTGAGGATGGTCCGGCCACAGTGGGTCATTACACAGCTGTTCAAAACAGCAAGAATGCCAAGGACACGGCAGCAGCATCCAAGTCCCTCAAACGGCCGTCTATTATTAGCGCTTTGCCATGGAAACGCATCGTGGCTGTGTCAGCTAAGAGGAAAGGTTCCAAAAAGCTCCAGTCTGAAGGAGGGGATGGTGGGAAAGGAAGCCCTCTAGAAGGCAATGCAACCACCACGACCAGCTCAGCCTCCAACAGCTTAAAGCTGAAGAAGTCTCAGTCCTGTGCTAACCTCTCGTCTTACTCGTCAGTCCAGGATCCCTCAGCTGCCACCACTACCTCCTCCCTCCTGCCCACCTCCAAGACCTTGGCAAATGTAGCTACTGTTATTGCTAAAAAGAATTCCCTCACAGGTCCTGGACTCCAGGCTTCCACTGCTGTTGGTACGCCAAAACGTGTCATCGTCCAGGTAACCCAGATGTTTTGTTTTTAAAAATAAAGAACGCAATCTCTTAAAAAAATCAAATCCTCATTCGTTAATGACCACTCTTCTCTGTCTCTGACACCAGGCGTCCACCAGTGAACTGATGCGTAGCCTGGGGGAGTTCCTGTGTCGTCGGTGTTACAGACTCAAGCGTCTTTCCCCAACAGATCCGGTGCTGTGGCTGCGCAGTGTGGACCGCTCCCTGCTCCTGCAGGGCTGGCAGGATCAGGGCTTCATCACGCCAGCCAACGTGGTCTTCCTCTACATGCTGTGCCGGGACGTGGTCTCTGCTGAGGTGGCCTCGGAGCGCGAGCTGCAGGCCTCGCTGCTCACCTGCCTTTACCTGTCCTACTCCTACATGGGCAATGAGATCTCGTATCCGCTCAAGCCCTTCTTGGTGGAGGCAGAGAAGGAAGCCTTCTGGGATCGTTGCCTGGAGATCATCAACCGGATGAGTAGCAAGATGCTCCAGATCAACACCGACCCACACTTTTTTACCCAGGTGTTTGCTGACCTGAAGAACGAGAGCAAGAAAGAGGAAGAGAAGACTAAACTTCTCATAGGCCTCGACCGATAAGAGGGAGCTGGGAGGGATCGAAGGATGAGAAGCTAGGAAAACTAACGTGAAGTGCAAAACTATTCTGGTGTCTGGTGTCTCTGCTGGTTCCACATTTCCTGTTTTTAGTCCAGAGGGAATAATTTATAGAGCTAAAATAAACATGTGAACATTTTAAGTTAGTGAAGTACCAAAATAAAATGGGGTTTCAGTAAATAGCATGCAGCGTCTCACCTGTTGGCAAAAGGAGACATTTTACCATAAAAAGATCAAATCCATTTGCAGTGGTGGAATTTGAATACTTAAACTAGATTAATGATGCGATTTGATCTGATCACAATCTCAGAATTAACTGACAACAACGTAGTGATCATCGTGAAGCTTAAAACCCCTACAATAAATCTTTCAACCACTTTTCTAAGAACAGTTTTGCTGACAGCGACAAGCAGGTTTTTATTGTGAGTCTGGCCGACAGAGTCCCGTCAAACGTATTGCATTGATCTCTCAGGCACAGAGACGTGTGTCAGTCTGATCTGCGTCTTGTTTCATGAGATAAAGAACAGAAGCAACCGACCCAGAGATGCCAGACACTCACGTATACGTTCATACATCCAGTACCAGTGCAACACTGGAACACAGATTCATTACAGTGACATCTTTGACTCCTACTGGATGTATGAATGGATTTGCATGAAGTTCCTCACCATGTCCTTGCACGTGACCAGTTTTTAACTTTATATAATTATATTTACATAGTCCCCGCCCAACCTCAGAGCAGTCACATGAAGCCCCACTTTTGAAACGCACAGAGAATTCACAAACACCAACTAAACCGAGACTGTGCTGCACCGCTAGTTTCATCATTCACTGCTTCTCCGGGAAGCAATTATTTATTTGGAATGGTTATGTAAGATGTAGGTCCCTCCTGCACAAATTATTGATCATTGCAGGGATATTTTAGACACTTTTTGAAGTTGTGGTTGGTAGTTATAAACCATCAGTATCATCTCAGCCATCTTTTATCTTTGAACGAACACAATTCTGAAGATAACAGCTATTCTGAGAGAGGCCAGGACCCAAACAAATTCATGTCAGCTTGAAAACTATTTAAGACTCACATATCTCAAAACACTCCACATGAATCCATTTTTGTAAACCAGTGGAGTTTAATAAAACTGTCATTCTGTGCCCCATTTGGGGAAAGAAACATTTGTCACATTTGAAGGCACACCTCTTGTAAAATTTACCTTTATGAAAGAAAAAAACCTCTCCGCTCCTCATCACTTCTATCCAGGGCACATGCCATATATATATAGGGATGCACAATGTTGGATTTCTGGTCAATATCCGATATGCCGATATGTTAAAACTTATTCGGCCGATAATCGATGCCAATACCGATATTTTATATACGTTCCTTCCTTTGTCAGAACATATTCCTCTTATTTAGGCTTATTTGCTACAAAAATTGTGCAACAGCTGTAAGAGCTGGGGGCATATATTCAGTAACAGCCATATGATATGCATAGTACTTTGACTTATATTAAATTAAAGGTGTTAAATGTTATTTATTAGCATTAGTCACCTGCGATGGTGTCTCACTTGTGGAGGTTTGTTCCAGTTTCCTAGCTGCAGTGTGGGATCCTCTGCACTCCTGTGCATGAAGGACAGACTTTTTAAGTTCAAAGTTTTTGTCTATCCATTGAGCTGTAAGGCTAATCATGCTAACGGGGCTAACACGACGTCCAAATGTCTGTGGTAAAACTCACCCAGCAAGTCGTGCTATCAGCTATTAGCTTCTCAATGACGTCAGAAATGACAACTTGTAACTTGGGTAACGTTACGTCGGAAAAATATCTCAGACTGTGGACGATGTAGCGAGGCTCAACGTAGTCCATAAATCTTCAGAATCCAACATCCTCACCAATGAAAAATAAAACTTCCAAACCGCCGATATTTTGAAATTTCCTCTCTGCCATGAGATCAGGTAGATGCACGTGACATCATCACGTTGTGCTGCCGCTGCAGGCACAAACCACGCCTTTTTTATCGGCCAGTTACTTTAATGGAATGGCCGATGTTCGATATTGAAATTTAACGTTAATATCGGCCAATACCGATACCATGACGATAATATAGTATAGTGCATCCCTAATATATATATATATATATATATATATATATATATATATTTATATATATGATCCCTCACAAAAACAAGTCTGAGCAACAACAAAGTCTAAATACTAATTCCCCTACCAATCATTTTTTTAGGCTGAATAAATAAAATACAATAACAATAGGAGTGGTCATGTGCCACAGTTATTTAAACAGAAATCTATGTTTATATATGAGAACATTTAGCAGCAGCAGCTAGCTGTAGCCCATTCGGTGTACTTTGAAACATTTCCAGCATAAATGTCTTAATAATTATGCTGAATCAACCATGTACTGTAGTCCAAAACTGATGGCAATGTAAAATTTATAGAGAAGTGTTTGCATGAACTGTTAAAAGTTTTGAGACTGATATTGCTTTAATCCAACAGCTCTACATTTTTGTGTTGGTCATTAAGTCATCAGTCCAGTCAGAAATAATTCTGTTTCGCTAAATTGATGTCATTCAGCAGGAAAGATAATAACTGTTCATAACTTTTACACAAAACCCAACTTAAATTGTTAGAATATCCTATTTAACAAGCCCTTTGTAAGATGTTTACATTCACAGAAAGATGGGAAAATGCAATACTGACCTCTCCAGGGCACATTTGACACTAAGTTATTATGTCACCCTGCACCTTTACCAACATACAACAAGTTGGTGATGTGGACTGGAGAAAGAAAGATAGATAGATAGACAGAAAGAAAGAAGGAAAGAAAGAACGTAAGAAAGAACATAAAGAAGGGAAAAAAATGAAAGCAAGAATGAACAAAAGAAAGCAAGAACGAAAGAAAGAAAGAATGTAAGAAAGAACAAAAGAGTGAAACCAAGAGCAAAAGAATGAAAGAAAGAAAGAAAGAAAGAAAGAAAGAGAGAGTTAGTTTTTTTAAATGCTGCACTCTTGCTGTGTGCTTTCCTTTATACTGATGATGTGGTGCTGTGTCATAAAGGTCATCTTTAAGAAGACAACTGAAGAAACTGTGACGATATATGAGATCAGAGGCAAACACAATGAGTCCTCTTCCAAAGCAATCCTTTCAAGTTGGTCTTGCCTCCTGATTCTCAAGGGATTGGCTGCTGCTTGAAGATGGCCTCCCACCTACATTTCTTATGCTCACTGAGCGGTTTGACGTGCATGTGTGCTTCTATAAGGTCTCCCAGCATGCTGCTTTGTGTTGGACACGCCACGCCTTGTGTTACAGAAGAGACTGAGCGGCTGCCACAATGAACTGCTGAATGTTACACTGAGAGATGTGACATCAAGGCGACATGGCACAAGGCATCTCTGACATGGGATCATTTGTAGCTTTGTTGCAATTATATTAGAAAAGGCAAACACACGGACTGGCCCTTCATCCAGATTTCTTCTACCCTTGGTTACGTAGTACTCAGGGGCCTAAAAAGAGTTCACCAAGATTATTTCATCTTCATTGAAGAAAGTCAGGGATAGATTGGGTTAATAAAAAAAACTGATTTCTTATGGGATTTAGGTTCAGTTTTTGAGAGGGTTCTTTGGCATTGTAAAAATCTTCAATTTTCATTTCAGAGAGAGAGATGCTTTTCCTTGATGATTCCATGTCTCAACATCTAACTGTAGCAAATATACTGTCTTCAGTTTCCAAAAAGAAAAATACCCCCTCGGTCTTCTCATGCAGGGCGGAGATCTTGTGCCATATCATAAAGACTTGTTATTTCATACAAAATGAAACAAAAATAACAAAAAAATACCACGAGTCAACTCAGAGTCTGCAACTCCTGAACAAGAGGAACTTTAAAGGATTCACAGACGAGCTTTTTCATAATGTTATATTGCGTGACTGAGGGGTAACACAGAAAAAAGTGACTTTCTTCCTAACAAAAGGACATTGAATGATAAAAATGAATTTTAGAACAGAGGAAAGTTGTCCACCTACTTTGGACTCATCGAGAGCATTTACATTGACACGTTTTAAGGTTTTCATCAAAATAACTGGCTCTTTCCAAAAGGTTACCAAACTGAGCCAGACTTACTGGTGCATTTAGATTTGACCACAAAAGAAATGGGATAAACGGCACAAAATGTTAGACTGATTGGTAACTCTAAATTGTCCCTAGGTGTGAGTGAGAGAGTGAATGGTTGTTTGTTTCATTTGTCTCTATGTGTCCCTGTGATGGACTGGAGACCTGTCCAGGGTTTCACACAGTGATAGCTGGATATGGGCACCAGTGACCCCCGTGACCCAAAAAGGAAGAAGTGGGTAAACATAATGGATGGATGGATGGATGGATGGCACAGAATCCAGAGAAAGTGTCTTCTTTATTCAGGTCATTTTTACCTCCTGTTCTTTATGCTCACATGACACCCAACCGGGCTGTTGCAACTGAGGACAAACATGTAGCTTCCGTACAGAGTCAGACCCAGGTCTAATACGTGCACAAGAATCCGTAACAAACAAATGTGTTCGCTCATCATTCTTGCTGGTTGTTTTGATCGACTGATGAGACAAGTAGCATTTCTCCTGATGGCATACAATCTGTTGAACAGTTGTGATGACTGACCCAAAGTGGGTGCTGTAGGACAGCGGTTTAAGAAAGCATGGCCAGAAAGGTTAAAGACAAGATGCAGATGGTCATAAAAGTGAATTAAAAAAAGTTTCATTTATTTCAATGTTACTTTGATGTAGACGTGGATGATAATTATTTGAAGTAATTCTTAGCTGATGTAGATTCTTGGCGAATATCAAAACAGTTTGCTAAGGTCCTGTCACACTGAACGAAACCATCGTAGTTTGGATTGTGGCTGGATCGATGGAGGGTCTTAGTTAAGTTTTCAGGGGTGTATTAGGAACACATGCAATCCCCCATTACATTTGACAGAGAATGGTAGATTGTATAGTTTTTTTTTTGAGCATATACAAAACTTTTGTAGAGAGACCATGGCGCTTTGTGAGAGTCCTGGGAAGAGTTGAGTGTTTACGTAGTGGAGCACAAGTAAATAGGGG